TCACTACTCTGTATTTATGAAGCAAAGATATCTTGGAATCTAGTTTGAAAAATAATCCGACATTATAAAGCAATCGGGACCTCATGTTCAAGTAAGATAATGTTCTTTTAGGTTGTTTTTTCAACCACACATTTCAAAATAGACGGTGACCTATCCTTACAGTTAACATGTTTTAAATTCAGAAAAAAATCGTAGTGAATGTGTTTTGGATTACTTTTATGTTAACTAGTTGTGGAATAGACATATTGTGGTTTTTTTTTGCAGAAAAACATCATGAAACGCAGCGTTGATAGTTGTAAGTACTTAGCAATAATAAATATGTCTTAATTGAAATATTTCTAAGTTAACATATTTTTTTAAGTGGATATGTTCAATTATTTTTACTGTATATTAAATACCGTGCATAAGACTATAGACATCAAAACGTAATTGCCGCTACTCAACTTGATACTTGAGCTCAGAGTCTCAATTTTATTGCATATCGGATCTCCCTTGAAACCGGAACGCAGGGCTATTCACAGCAGATACAGTTAGGATAGAGGTACTTACCCGTACGAGCTTAGATACCATACCACTAATAAATTAAAAATAATAACTGATACCTCAAAAACTAGTCAATCAATTAATGAAGGCACTAAATTTTTATTGCACTGTAATTTTTACGCCGCTGTAATTTTTATGTATAATTTTACTTATTTTTCATAAAAAAAAGAAGTTTTAGAACTATTTTAAATTACATTATTTGTTGTTTTTTTAATATTCTTCCCTACTTCTGCTAGTTGTTATCCAAAATTATATTATTTCGTCTCTTGAATCTGAACAGTCCATTACGTATTATTTTGTAACTAAACAATACTTTCAATGCGTATTTAAATCGCGTCATAAAAAAAATGTCGTAGGTTATTTGAGTCGACTATTATCAAAGCGGGCAATGTGACTTTTGGACAATTATTGGTAAATCAGAAAAACGAATTATTGACTTTGTATTCCATTGGCAGTCACAAAACTCTTCGGAACGACATCTCAGATAAATAACAGGTTAACTATTAACCTTTATTTAATGCAGGTTTTGAACCGTATTCTTTGAAGGAGACGATTATGTTCAAATCAATCTGTATTGACATATCAATAACATTTTTTTGTCCAAATGCACAGATTGCCACCTTTGACAATAGACGACTCATTTTACATATTTGTAAATCGTACCTTTTTTTTAGTACTTGGTTCAACAAACTTTGGAGCTTCCACTACAAATGGAGAGCAGGGCGTGTCCGATTGCCTGGCCGCTGGTAATCTACCCGGGAAATGTTATACCGAGCAACACGGTATAAATCCAGAATGGTGAAAATAAACTAATCTTTTATTGACACTCGAGACATTATTTTAATTTAAACATAGATTGGTTTTATTTTTTCCATGTTTTTATACGTTCAGCGTCGATTATGTTCTCAAAAACTACTCCGATGTGATGCTATTGATTTCGTTTAATTAAACTCTAGGTTTTAGTTATCAACTATATGAACATTTGCATTTAAATAACATTGCTGTAATAATATTTAAATAATGATGCCATTGAGAAAATACAATCGTCAGACACTATATCTAAATATTTTATATGTATTTATTTATTTATTTATCTTCTGTATTGTATAATCATCAATTATACCTAGTCAGGTCATAAATTCTGTCACATGTTTAATGTAAAATAATTGAAACAAGTTTATTCATTATGTAACCATTCATATACCAAAATGAACTTAACAAAACAGATTCTTATGACACTAAAGTTTATTCAAAACGACCTCCGTGATTTTGAATACAGGCCTTCAATCTGCGCGGCCAGTCGTCTATCGCAGCACGAACGAGGTCCATGTCAATATCGGCGGCTGCCTTAATAAAGGATGTCTTGAGTGACTCCAAATTGGGATGAGGCTTTGAGCACGCCTTTTCCTCCAAGTGTTGCCATATCTTGTAATCTAACGGATTCAAATCTGGACTGGAGGAGGGCCAGTCTTCGTGCCGGATGAAGTTGATTTCATGCGCCGCCAGCCAGTCTTGTGTGCTCTTCGCTCTATGAGCTGGCGCCGAATCTTGTTGGAATACCCAGTGCCTGTTATTGAACATGTTATGAGAAACAGGTTCCACAAGGTTCGTCAGGACTGTATTTTGATACACAACTGCATTCGTTTTTACACCTTTCTCACAAAAATGTACCTCTGTTAAGCCCCAATAAGAAACTCNTACCCAGTGCCTGTTATTGAACATGTTATGAGAAACAGGTTCCACAAGGTTCGTCAGGACTGTATTTTGATACACAACTGCATTCGTTTTTACACCTTTCTCACAAAAATGTACCTCTGTTAAGCCCCAATAAGAAACTCCCAACCATACCATGAGCGAGGATGGAAAATGACCTCGTTGGACACGCGGAATACGGTTGCTCGCTTCGTCACTACTGTGTGCGTACACCTTATCATTTTGTTTGTTGTAGCTCTCTTCTACGGTAAAAAATTTTTCATCCGAAAAAAGAATTTCCCGATATTTTTTTCCCGCGTACCGTTTCAACAAAGGGCGGCATCTCTTCAGTCTCAGGTCCATTAGACGAGCATTCAAAAGATGGCCTGTTTTTCTTCGATATGCCCGAAGCCCTAAGTCTTCATTTAACACCCTTTTCACCGTGGTTCTGCTTAACCCCATCTGAAGGGCCAACAGTTTCTGCTTACGTTTGGGATTTCTTTTGAATTCGCACCTTCACAGCTTTTATCACTGCTGGAGTCCTAACAGACCGAGGGTGACCACTTTTTGACCTGTCATCTACACTAGAGTCTTCATTGTATCGTTTGATGGTACGATAAATGAATCTTTTGGTTATATTCAAATTTTTCAGTATGTTAAAAATTTGAATTGGCGCGTATCCGCAACGATGCAACGCAATAACTGCAACACGGTCTTCTTTAAGCGTCCACTCCATATTTAAAAATGAGTAAAATTCTAAAAGTATACATTTTTATTTTCATGAACAATTCGAAATTCGAATTCAACAAACTTTTTTGTGGCCAGCATTCTAAAAGAAAAGTTTTTACTGTGTGACAATACTTATGACCTGACTAGTTATTATGTATGTTTATGTTACGTTTTTGTGATATGGATAAAATTAGGTAAAATCCAGTTTGTATGGCTTATTAACAAATAGAATACTTTAAATTATTAAGTATTAAATGACATGTTCTAAGTAATATCGGGCGTATCAGCGATAGTAAACCTATCAGCGTGTTCGCTGATTTGTGAGATGACGTAGAAATGGATCAACGTATCGACTGGGAGTTTATGAATTAGTGATCAGTATAGCAATTCTTCAATCACTGCCTTTGATAAATATATATGATATTGAAGTATTAAACGTCATTTCGGATCCTCCCGATCCAATTTTGGTGCTTTTAGGCATTCCAAGCATCGGTTATAATTCCCATCGAACTTGTCGAATGCGAATGTGAGAATTCGACAAACTTAAGCCACAGACAAATCTCACTAAGCTTCTCGCTGGATCTTCTCAGTAGATTGTGATTCCGATCCAGTGGTGCCCAGATGGGCACATGTTAGCAAAATTATCTCAGGATAAACCCCCTGAACTCTCCCACGTTCTACGTAAGACCAAAATAGCTCCTAGAGGCTACCAGCAAATAGGCTGAAAAAAGCAAGATCTTGTCTCACATGCTGCCTAAAAATCATAACAGAAAATCGTTGATTCGTACCAATTAGTATGACTATGCGTTGTCTTTTTTTTTCATTTCTGCCAAGATGACGTCCAAGCTTTTTGGAAAAAGTTTAGTCAAGGTGAGTTGAGTTGATTGAGCACAAGGTTTGGGAAGTACGGCAGAAAACGTAAAACTTCCAACTCTAGCCCGCGAGAGTTGTCGTGTAGGAGCCATTAACCAAGGCTGGTCTACGATGACCCGCTTAAGATTTGAAAAATAATCCTATTTTCTTTCATCGCAAATCACAATACGGTTCAAATCTCTCCGTTTCTGCGTCTGTTAAGCAATGCAAGGCATACCTTAACACGTTCGTCGTACCTTAACGCGTTGGTGATCGTTGAGTTCGTGCGGCACCCACTTATCAAGTTGACGCCAATTGACCGAACCGAAATTAACCAAAATTGGTTTTGATGTTAATATTGAAACCTGCTGCTAAATAAGCAGCTTCTACTATCCCCTTTAATTCTTTTTGTAAACTTTACTTAACTGACGACCGCAGGCTTCATTTTTTAGATGAAAATTTCCAGCTCGGTAGCTGCTAAACCAATCACGAGTAGTGCGTTCGTTTGCAACATTCTCTCTGTACACGTCATTAATGTTGTGAGCCGCTTGTGCCATATTGCTAACGCAACGGTACTCTTATTTTTATCTTTTTCACATTTATGAAAAATATAAAAACATAGTGAAAACAAAACACGAATCAATATACAAATAAAACAATATATGAAAAGCCGCATATAAATTACGTATAAAATGACAACTTCATAGGTAAAAAAAAAACTATCATTTTACATATATTATATCTGTCACGAGTCTTATAAACGTTCTGCTTTCAAGGATAAGATATCTATTATACAATACAGTTGAGACTCGAAAAGCGTTTATTTACTTTGATATCTACGGGTTATGGTGACCAAGAGTGTGTGGACCCATCGATCACTTTAAAAAATACCCAAGATACGACTTTCAGAAAGTACTAGTCCTAAAATATATTACGATTACTACTCGGTTCAATTTAAATGGCGCAGTTCTGAATTGTCACAAGAAGTACGTGCCTTTAGAACCGTGAAGATTTGTCCGGTTGCGGTTTGGTAGCATGGTCGTGGAACAATTTAACAGACCGCGGTTTCGCCAGACATTCTGCAATCGTAAGCCTTCGTTTGCGGAGAGGAATAAATCTTTACCACACCCTCATTAAAACATCGACTTGTCAGCAAAATATATTATTGTAATATGAAGATTTCAATGAAACAGTTGCTGCTTTTTTAAAGCTGCCACGCAATACATGTTAACTTTTAGACTGGAACAGCCATTAAACAAGTTTCGATCTCATGTCTGAACTAATTTGTATAAATGTGCTCCGACAATGATATACCAGGTCACATGTGAGCTACCCGTGAAGGACAAGAAAAACAAGTATATGTGAATTGAATTTATTAAGTCAAAAATTTGTAGAAATTGAATAACGTATTTACGTATTTAATAATTATGGTTTACAATATCGTTTTGATAGTAAACACCGGAGAATAGGAGCGATGGAGTGTCGACACCTACGACATTATTCAGTATTGAAAATGCATAGGGACGATTAATCTCAATGGTTATCTTATCTTTATTTGCACAGATACTTTTCGCCACAAGAGATTTTTTCATTGCGTCTGAAATAAACAAAATGTTACTATAAATGTGATCCAAACACTTACAAAAAATACTAATTTGAACGACAAAACATAATTGTATTTTATTTGAGTGTAATAAAGAACAGTATAAAATGAATTAGTGAACTGAAACTGTAGGTAAATAAATAAACAAATAACCGACCCCAAATTAGGATTCCCAGTGTTATGGGAACGAGGGACTAATGCAGTCTTTAAATATTTATATACGTTTAAAAATATGCATAATATATATATTAGATAATAAACACCCAGACAAAGAGAAAAAAACCTGCTCATCACACCGATGTAGTAATCGAACCCAGCACCTTCGGCACAAAAGTCAGGGGCGCTAAACACTGCACAACCGAGTCGGTCAAAAACGTGACAAGAAAGGAGCTACGATAGAAAAACGCATTTATTTCATTGACGTTTTTAAAGTTACCTGAATAAGCGCTGATAAGTTTTTTAAAGATAAATCAATATTTTAATTTATAGAAATTAAAGTTTAATTTTCGTTAATATAAGTATTCTAAAGTCAGTTCATACGTACCGAGATTGTCATCTTCGATCATTTTACCAACAAGGTACACTTCACTGAAGACACCTTCGATAGCACCGGCTTCACATTTCTTCGTTACACCAGAAAACTTCGCCCGGTCTTTGTCAAATACTATATCCAAATTTTTTACCTGAAAGTTGGGTTATGAATGGTGCTCAATAGCTTAGAAATACACAATATACATAATAGGGCTCATAGTATAAAACAAAGTCTTTCTTGCTTCGGTTTCCTCAATACTGAGGGTCGTGACCACTTCCTCGCAACAAGAGTTTATTACGGACCATTCCACGCCATTTGCCTCTATCTGCCGCCGAGTGTAGAGCATCGTGAACTGTGGTGTCGAGGGTAGTGCGGATCTGGTCAGTCCAACGTGTCGGGCCTCTACCTCGTGATCTTCTTCCGTTCACCTTGCCAGTCACCACATGATACTTTTCTATATCTATTCCTATATCCCTATATTCCTATGTATGCTTAAATCTTTAAAACTACGCAACAGATTTTGATGCGGTTATAATAGATAGATTGATTGAAGAGGAAGGTTTATATGTATAATAACATCCATTAAATAGTGGAGAAATCAATAATAGATTACAGTTTCCGAAGCGAAGCGAGGGCGGGTCGCTAGTTATTAATATTCAGCGATTATAACGTCTTCAAATATGGCGCTTCAGTGTTTTTGTAAAAAAATGCTTTATTGCGTCCCTACGCAATGTTCTTTTTACCGATTTGAGAATTTTCGTAAGATCAGCTTGTGTGGCCGCTCGCTGTAACGGTAGACTTATGTTCACACATCTAAATTCTTGAGCAGCAAAGGCTTCTTCAGATACATTCGACCCCTTAATATTTTGTAGCATTTCGGGCAATCCGTCAACCTTATCAGGAAGAGCTACGAAAAATGTAAAAGCACCTCCATTCAATGTTATACTGATGAACTGAAAAAAATATGGTTAAAATAACTGCCTCGATATTATAAGTATCAGAGTAAGTAATAAGTATCAGGGTAAGTATTATAAGTATCAGAGTAAGTAATCATAATACATCTGTATTGTAATTTAATGTTGTATTTTTTACTGTGTGATCGTGAATTAAAATGAACTCGCAGTTAATCTGGTGTTAAGTAATAGCTCTTAAACACCAGAATGTAAATTCCGCCTGTGAATACCTTGAGACGCGTTTTCGAAGTAGGTATGAATTGTAATGTTTAATTACTATCTAATCCATTAAAATTGAATTTATGGGTACTTCTAGGCAGCAATCGGCCGTTTGGTTATTTTTTTTTGGTAAGGACACACAATACGCCCTATTGCCAGTACCTAATTATTTAAACCTTTAAACAATGCGGGTTTGATTTATCACACGATAATCCCTTAGTCGTAGAAGTGGATTGCGAAACGGTGTTAGGTACTACATAATATTTTTTTAGACAATTTGACAGAGGAGCTGGTCTTATCTTTTTATCTATTATGCCGCGATGACTTAGTATGCAGAAAAGTACCACTATTGAAGATAGACCTGCTTCATAGTTTCAAATTTTGGAAGTGACTCGAACGTAATGGTGTTTACGATATTAAAGACCATTTAAAATAAAATGAGGTATATTTAAAACTACTTTTACGGTTTAATCTAAGTTTTTTTGTTGTCATTATAATATGATTTCTGACCTTTCGAATACTTTATAGGTTTGTGGTCACAGACGATTACGGTGTTTTTGATTGACATTTGAATATTGTGCTGACTACCAAAAATTTTTCTATAAAAACATATCTAGAGTTATAAGTTTCATTTCACACAGAAAGAACTAATACTATTTTGGGGTCTAGCAGTTTCTTTAACTTGGGTTTTCATCTTTACTACAAGAGGATCACTGGTGTTAGATAAGTTATATGCGGTGTAACATATTAATGATTTACCTGTGCCTTATATTTTTCAAGGTATGCGTATTTTACGATTCCCGTCCCAACTAGTGCAGGTGTATTAATTTTTTTCCTTTCGTTCGAATAAAAATTAATTAGTTTAACTTGTCTTGGATTGAATCCGGTGTCGAAATCGAGCTGAAATTTAACATTACGAGTCATCGACTCTTTGAATTTTCTATGAAGTATGTCAAATATATTCGCTTTACTTTCTTACCTCAAATTCGAGAGAATTAACTATAATAAAACCTTTATCTTTCTTTATCTTGGTCGCATTCACTAAATCTTTGTTTCCAGCCTGACCGATTTCTTGGCTGTTGACCTTTAAAGCAGAATTGATAACTAAATAAAATAAAATAAACAATTAATGAGTTCTAATTTCAATTATTGGCCCTTTGGTCTATTGAGGTAAACGAACCAGGAAAGATATCCAGCCGAGCGGACGAATTTGCTTGGTAAGCCGATGGTCGAAATGTTCGGAACTTGTATACTCATATCCAAACTCATCTTGAAAATGTCGTTAGCATCATTCAGGTGTCTGTTATCATCATTCACATCACACATAATGGGGAGATAATTAATGATAGAAATAAAAATAAACAAATATTGACACAACACAATTATTTATTTATTTATAACTTTATATAGTAGACAGTATAAAGGCGGACTTTTTTTTTATTGTTAGATGGGTGGACGAGCTCACAGCCCACACAGGTGTTAAGTGGTTACTGGAGCCCATGGACAAGTACGACGTAAATGCGCCACCCACCTTGAGATATAAGTTCTAAGGTCTCAAGTATAGTTACAACGGCTGCCCCACCCTTCGAACCGAAACTGCGCATTACTGCTTCACGGCAGAAATAGGCGGGGCGGTGGTACCTACCCGTGTGGACTCACAAGAGGTCCTACCACCAGTAATTACGCAAATTATAATTTTGCGGGTTTCATTTTTATTACACGATGTTATTCCTTCACCGTGGAAGTCAATCGTGAACATTTGTTGAGTACGTATTTCATTAGAAAAATTTGTACCCGCCTGAGATTCGAACACCGGTGCATCGCTCAACACGAATGCACCGGACGTCTTATCCCTTAGGCCACGACGAATTAATGTCATAGGCATTCTCTGACAGTCTACCTTAGGAGGGTGCAGAGATAAACGTTGGTAGGTGTAGTGTGATAGTATACATAATATTTATAGATACAAATACTCGTAGTTAAATAGATACACATACATAAATATATACATAAAAATATTTATACATAAATATTATCAATTAGATGACCCTACTAACTCTCTGAAAAACATTTCTCGAACACTCGTCTTAAACGCTTCACGTGTAGTGGCCGACCTATCTTCTATTTACCGACTTTTTTTTTTATTGCCTTTGTAGGCAGACGAGCATACGGCCCACCTGATGGTGAGTGGTTACCGTCGCCCATGGACTTCAGCAATGCCAAGGGCAGAGCCAAGCCGCTGCCTACCGCTTAATACTCTCCACAAGCCTCGTTTGAAGAAGGACATGTCATAGCGCTCGGGAAACACCGTGGAGGGGAGCTCATTCCATAGCCGGATGGTACGTGGCAAAAAAGATCTCTGGAAACGCACTGTGGATGACCGCAGTGGCTCCAGGTAGTATGGATGGACTCTACTCCGGACTATGGACTTATCTTCTATTTAATATATTTTTGAGACAAACGAACTGATGAAAAATGTTTTTGTCCTGTAGGTTAGAGAGGGCGTGCATAGGTTTTGTGATCCTATCGTCTGCGTTCTAGATTGTGTACCTGTTGCTATAATTTAGAACTTAGAACAGCTTATAATTTACTTTCTAGAACCATTGCGATAATGTACACTGCGTTCTCCGTGATAATTAAAATTTATACTCGGTAGGAACATCTTTCCAAGTGTTTCCAAGGGCTCGAGTAACATTCGTTTTTGAACAAAGTTAGGAAAGATTACGAGTATAGCCTGCCTATAAAACAAATATTGTAAAAAACTACATACCCATGCATTTATGGTTCTGGCCGCTTTGGTAGGATTATCGAAATCGGCATTTCCAGTTTGTCCTATGAAATACTTTGAGAAGGAGTTTTTGAAAGCCGAACAGAATTTGTATTTGTCGTCGGCGTATATTTTTGTTGCATATCTCAGCGGAAGGTGCAGATCATGGCCAAATGTCCTTTTGTTCACTATTTTTAGTATTCTTTTCATCTAACAACAAATTAAAATTGAATAAAATATATACCAAATTAAAAAACACTCCGGCCCGAGCATTTTAGAAATCCCATGTTAAAACGGAACCTTAGGTACTCCCTCCATAATATTTTTCAAATTAATTATCACTCGTATTGGAATCTATCCCATACATCTAAATATGTTCAAGCACTTAAAATCTATGGAGTATAAAAAAAGTTACATACGCACACACCTTGAAAGAAGAAAAAAACTATCATATATAAAAAATAACTCTTGAAAAGCTATTGCCAGTAAAGCAAGCTATTGCAAGCTATCGCAAGCAGTCGCGATATTGCAACCTATCGCAAGCAATCGCAATATTGCTAGATTCTTATCTTGCAATTACATTATTGGTTAATATTGTTGTAAAAGTTATTCAATCCCGTTTTTGCAGGATAGCCGTCGGAGCCCGGTGGTTCGTTAGGAACGTCGACCTCCATGACGACCTGGACTTAGAGTCCATCAGTAAGTATCTATAGTCGGCGTCGATGCGCCATTTCGATAAAGCGGCACGACAAGAGAACCCTCTCATCGTGGCCGCCGGTAACTACATTCCCGATCCTGCGGAAAGAATGGAAAGCAGTCGACGTCGCCCCAAACACGTCATTTCGGACCCTCCCGATCTACTAACGGTACTTTTAGGTACCGTTCTCGTCGAACCCGTCACTTGCGACGAAGGGCTCGACGAGTAAATTAACCCTCAGACACAGTCCACTGAGCTTCTCGCCGGATCTTCAGTGGGTCGCGTTTCCGATCCGGTGGTAGATTCTGTGAAGCACGGCTCTTGCTAGGGTTCGTGTTAGCAACGTCACCAGGTTTGAGCCCCGTGAGCTCACCTACTAGTTAAGGTTCCGCTGATATAGCCTCTCAAGGCTATCAGCTTAGGTAGGGTTTTTTTTTTTTGTAAGAATAATAACTAGCGCAATTTGTTTTAAAGTTTGGTTTATAAATCGAATCCACTACTAATCTCCGAGTGCTTAAGTGGACAATTAACTGTAGTTCTTCTTGGTGTAACTTAATAATTTCATAACTTACTTCAGTTGTATTTTTCGTTCCCAGCGCATCCTTGATAGCTTTTAACGTTTGACCTTTCGAGTATAACGAGAACTGCGCTAAAGTATTGTAAAACGCCAAAGCTGATAACACGAAGGTTTGCCTTGGATACAATTTTAGAAGTCCCTGTCAATGTAATTATTTCATACAATAAAATTTCATATTTCAATTCGAAAATATCAATTTCAACTATTCCGTGCTGTAATTGTGCATTGCAAGTGTAATTTTTTATAATTTAATATATTATTATGCATTTCATTGTTTTTATTGTTGTTGTTGTTGTTATTCTAAGCTCAGGTAATGATAGGTATTGTTATTATATAAAAATATTCGCGAAACACGACTTCGAACTTTGTTCGAATTTATCATAATGTTCACAGTTATTTAAAACCAATACATACATACTTATGTTTCTGAATTAATCCTCTCGAAATAATCTGCCTATAAATTTTTTAACACTTACTTAAGTAATTTTGTCAAGAAAATCACGATAGCGTTATAAAATGTAAAGTTTTTCACTATTGTAAACTTACGTAAAATAAGTGCCGAGTCAATTGGTTGTAGTTTTCAACGAGCCGCTTAGTGTCCGGATTACCTAAAACATAAAGATTGCTGAAAATTGTTATTAATTAGATAATATGTACGTAATAAGTCATAAAATTCTACTATGCAAATTTTTCGAAGTCATCGTGGCTTAAAGGACCAGAAGCCAAGTATCTTAAATATCTTTTGACTATGCGACTGTACCGGTGCTTGAATACGTATCGACATGTTCATGATTGTCTTCCACTAGGAACAACAACAACCATAAGTACACGTCCTCTTTTTATTTTTTATTGCTTAGATGGATGGACGAGCTCACGGCCCACCTGGTGTTAAGTGGTTAAGTGGAGCCCATAGACATCTACAACGTAAAATGCCGCCACCCACCTTGAGATATGAGTTCTAAGGTATCAGTATAGTTACAACGGCTGCCCCACCTTTCAAACCAAAATACATTACTGCTTCACGGCAGAAATAGGCAGGGTGGTGGTACCTCCCCGTGCGGACTGACAAGAGGTCTTACTACCACTAATTACGCAAATTATAATTTTGCAGGTTTGATTTTTATTACACGATACTATTCCTTCACCGTGGAAGTAAGAATTGGTACCCATCTGGGATTCGAGCACCGGTGCATCGCTCAACACTTTTGCACCGGACGTGTTATCCTTTAGGCCACGACGACTTTAAGGAATGGCAGGGAATAAAAATCAAACCCCAAAAAAACAAAAAATACGTGTAATTTAGTGATTGTAGACTTGTGAGTCCGCACGGGTAGGTATCACCACCCCAGAAGCAGTAATGCATTCGGGTTTGAAGGGATAGGGACAGCTGGCGTGAACGACTGGTATTTACAGATGGTTGGGTAAGTTGTTATCCCACACCGTTGGGTGTCATCATCCTGCCCGTTTCTGACATAAAGTACCATTTTTTTTTTTTCGTGTAGTGGGCCGAACCTCCTAAGAGGTCCCCGTGCAAAAGGGGCGCGCGGGGTATGTGAGACTCAACGGTCTGCATGGTGTTGTGAGCAGACCGCGGGCCCAAGGATTTTAGGGCCCACCCACTAAACGACTCCCCTGCACTCTTACACCCGACGTCCGATCCCCTCCGAGGTCAGAACCCGGATAAGGTAGGGGGGTTACCGCGGTCAACACTACAATCAGACGGCGCAGCTCACCCCAAGGACGCCCAGCCGACGGAGCCTTCGAGGCGAATTGAAGGCTCTAAGACGTCTACCGTCTCGGTACGGCAGCCCGTCAGGCCGCCCAGACGGTGCCGCTGGTGTCCCGGAATACCCCGCTGGACCAGAACCAGCCTGCCGGGTCAAAGTAACCCTGCGTTGCGGTTTCAAGGGCAGGACAGTCGTTTTCCAATACAATTGACACTTCGAACACATATTATTATCAAATATATTGACACTTCAAACACATATTATTATCATATCTCAAGGTTTGGCCGCAAGCATGTTCTAACCAGGTAAGCTAGGAGTTCGGCGACCCGTCGAAGCAAAAATATATCAATAGGAATTTGCGTCAAACCTGCAACTATTTGATTCCGACTTAAAGACGATACGGTCGGGCGACCATGGCGATCGAGCGATATGTCACTGTTTCCTGAAACAACATTACTTCATTACGAAGAGCAGAAATAACAAAGTGTAAATAGACTCGTTACGTCACTATTTAATTACGAATTTTGTTAAAAAGGAATAATTTGGTTCAAGACATACATTTGTTTGTTATTTTTCTGTACAATATAAAACAGCAGTCATTCTTGTTCTGCTCTGTTTTTTTTTTGTTTTCCTACCTAAGCTAGTAGCCTAGAGGGGCTATTCCAGCGTAACCGTAACTACTTAGTAGGTAGCTCACAGGGCTCAAACCTGACGACGATGCTAACACGAACCCTAGCAAGAGCCGTGCTTCGCCGAATCTACCACCGGATCGGAAACGCGACCCACTGAGAAGATCCGGCGAGAAACTCAGTGGGCTGTGTCTGAGAGTTAATTTACTCGTCGAGCCCTTCGTTGCAAGCGACGGGTTCAACGAGAACGGTACCTAAAAGTACCGTTAGTAGATCGGGAGGGTCCGAAATGACGTATTTGGGGCGACGTCGACTGCTTTCCATTCTTTCCGAAGGATCGCGAATAAGTCTTCTCTGTGTGTGGGTGGTAATGTATGTGTGTACATATTATCCACTTTCTGTATGATTGAATTGACTTAGTGCATTATTTACCATGAAGAAAACATTAAAGAGAAATCTCCGTGTACATCAAGATGATGCCTATACAATCTGCAACTGATCTATTGTCCTGACACTAGAATGTACTAAGATAGTCACTGGCCCATGAAGCTTGATAGCTCTGACTCCAGGCGAGACATGCGGAACCCTCCATACTACTACCCATCTAAGCAATAAAAAATAAAAAATAAAAATCGCTTTGCTATCTCACATTACCCCACCCCGCTGTCTCTTCTAAAATCCTGGCCTCTAATTTTTTAAAGTCTCTTCAGTATTCCGGCTTGGGAACTAGTGAGGGAGATTCAAGGAAACGACATGTAAGCTGCTTTACAGGCGTCGTCTTGCGAAGCTGTGATTGGATATCGAAGTACCCTCATTGACATTTTCCGAGGACACAAGGTGGAGGCTCCATATAAGGGGGGCTTAAGTAGTCTATCGACCGAGAAGCCTGGTGTCTGTGCCGCTTACAACCGCTGGTTCAGCATCCTGAAGTGAGATGACGACCGTTGGGTAGGAGAGAAGCGATCCGCGCAAAACGTTTGGTGTTGCACCCCACCCACTTCCGTTCGCATTTAGTTTTATATTACAAATGGCCTACTAACACGCAGTTCGTTGAACGATAAGGTACTCTGTCATGCTCGCAACTCATGGACGAAGATCCGGCGATTATCAGAATTTACCGATTACCACGGTGCGGGTCCAATGAACCATGTGGCAACGTGCTAATTTTCGCATACAGCGATATCTAAACCCAAAGGGCTTCGTATTCCGAATAACGGGGCTGTTTTACAGACCCCCCAAAAATCCAGTAGCCACTCTATAGCCCAAGTACAGCAGGTGATTATCTAGCAATACAAGTGTAAAGAATTGAAAAAAAATACCAGTACTTTAAGTACTCAAAATGCACTATATACCTTCTGAAATTATAACTGCTGATAAACCAAATAATGCACACAAATAGTACACGTTTAGCTTCACCATTATTACGCTATACGATTTATGGAGAATTGATAATTACAAAACTAACACTTCGCTTAAATACTATGTAAGACGTATTACCGACATACTCGTAAATGTATTTTAATTTTATTTTATTCAAAACTGACAATCGAAAGTCATTAAATTAAGGTATTTATTGATGTGTTTTTGAATGGAGCTTAGACATTAAATTCGACAGTTTAGACATTAAATTAGACAATTTAGATTTTAAATTATATTACTATTAGTTTCGAAACTAGAGTCAGCTAAATGTCGCACCAAGAAAAAATTATGAGCCAAATAGTATTTCATGCTTAAATAAATAGAAGTTTATCTTTCCGAAGAAGAAAAAAAATGAATAGAGATGGAAGTCTGAAGTTTAACTTTTGTTTTCATTGCGACTTTGCTAATGTAATTGAATCAAAAATACTGAACATATTATTATTCCTCAGGATAATAGCTGGGTGTGTCATCACGGATTTAATTTTTCTCTTTTTGATTAACTGATTTGATTACCATAAAAAAATGTATTTATTTAGGTCACTACGAGAGAAATTTCCAAAACAATGTGTACTATACACAACAGTACATATAGGACCACAGTAGCTAGAGGAAACAGGGTGACATCGCTAAGTACTGAAAGATTTGTTCAGAGGTCAAATTCAGATCTGAAGTCACCACTGCAAGTGAATTCACCGAGAGAAACATATGACTTGATTTAACTACAAGACTCAACCAGTACCTACTGGAAAATGTAGTCTTATAAACTATTTATATTTTGGGTGACATTCCAGAAACGTTGCCGCCTCTATTGCACAGCAGTTCTACTGTGACAAAATGAGCTGTTGGCGGAGTATCGCGTTCCGACTCGACATTTTGAATTTGGTCTAGCAAGGTATTCAGAGACATCAGCGGCACTGACAGGGGCGGTCTTACAGGCTACCGTAACGAAATGGCCGACGTAGAGTTGTCGACTTCGCTTCAGCTGGACATTCTTTGTGAGGTGCAGGAGTTGTAATTTAGACCCCGGAATCCAGATAAGCTTCCTCGGGTTTGGTCTCGAGCGTCGGACTAGAGTGCAAAGGAGTTGTATAATGAGTGCCCCTGTAACATCTTTTGTATCAGCCTTGAACTGCTTCACCCTCGAAGTCCCACATATCCCAAGGGCTTCCTAAGCACAGCGACATTGTAAGACGTTCGGCCCCTGCACGTAAAAAGGAGTACTGTCGTAGCCCAAATGACATTATTTCGCTTCAGACACAGACCGAAAATTATGAGTGATATAGATTAAAAATTCCTTATTCGCGCTGGCTTCATTCGCGTTTTCATTATTCGTGGATTGAAAAAATGCGACCAAATTCCTACTATATATTCAGGGCTAAAGCTTTCTTTATTCTTGGATTTAATTGGTGCATCGGTGCATATACTTTGATAAAAAGAATTCCAATATGTAGTCCAACCGAATATCCTTTGTAAACGTGTTTTTTATATTTACGGTTTCTGTATTCACGGTATATTTACGGAACATACATAATAATATATACCCCGTGAATAAAGAGCTTTCATTGTATAGGCAAAAAAAACAGTTCCACTTTTCAGAAACATAACGCAATATCAAAATAAATTTATTCACTTTTATAATAAGAACGCCCAAAATTTAATCACAAAAAAACTAAATACATTGTGGACAAATCGCATACAGTCATCTGGCCCCAAAACTAGGATTCGCTGTCCTATGTGAACTAGAGACTGCTATACACTATTATACAATATATGGCGGACATATATTACAAATCGCTTGGCCTCTAGACTTGACGAGTTCCAACCTCTGGAGCAGGTTAGGTTTCGCAAACGCTACAGTACGGTAGACCACATCCACACGCTGAGACAGGTTATTCTGAAGACTGAAGAATACAATCGTCCACTGTGTCTCGCGTTTGTGGACTACGAAAAAGCCTTCGACTGGAGTAATCTGGGCATCAATGTCAATGGCCAGTGTCTTTCACGCCTCCGATTTGCAGACGATATCGTTATAATGTCAGAGTCGCTGGAGGATCTCAGCTGTATGCTGGGTGAGCTCAATGCTGCGTCACGAAGTGTTGGTCTGGGAATGAATCTGGACAAAAAAGGTCATGTTCATCGGCCGTATCATTCCTGGACTGGTAATAGTCGAATCCGCGGTACTCGAAGTTGTGTCTGAATACACCTATCTAGGCCAAATTGTTTAACTAGGCAGGGCCAACTTTGAGAAGGAAGCTGATAGGCGAAGACAGTTGGGCTGGGCTGCGTATAACTCCATCATATCTTGAACTCAGCAATCCCGCAACCCCTAAAAATAAAAGTCTTCAACGCTTGCGTGCTGCCGGTCATGATATATGGTGCTGAAACGTGGACATTGACCGTAGGTCTGGTCGGTAAGTTCAATGTCGCTCAGCGTGCTATGGAAAGGTGTATGCTCGGAGTTTCTTTGATGGATCGAGTCAGAAATGAAGAAATCCGTCAAAAAACCAATGTAACCGACATAGCCCTAAATATTAGCAAGCTGAAATGGCAATGGGCCGGACATACGTGTTGCAGAACCGATGGCCGATGGAGCAGACGTGTTCTGGACTGGAGACCACGTATCGGTAAGCGCAGCGTTGGGCTTCCCCTTGCCCGTTGGACCGATGACTTGCGGCGATATGCTGGGAAATATTGGATGCGGAAGGCGGAAGATCGTTCATTGTGGCGGACTATGGGAGAGGCCTACATCCAGCAGTGGAGAGATACAGGCTGATGATGATGACGGAGTAGGCACAATTATTAACACCATCGACAAACATTGTAAGGGCGAATAGGGTGATCGAGCTAAGAGAAATACTGAGTACACCAATCACGTTTGTTGTTTTAGAACAACATAGAAATCTTCTCTTGACGTTAGCAAACGAAAACGAATGACAGTTCTTAGGACGGAGGCACATTACGTTTCATATATTATGATATTCAAAAATTTTTCATCAAAACGATGATCTTCTATTCATGTCCGTCAATAAAATAATATGTATTTATAACCATTGACACCACGCACCCCACGATATTTTTACAATAAATTTATTTTCTATTTTTTATAAAGGCTATTTTATATTTTTAGTTGGATTTTCTATAAAAGCGTGTTTTTTTTTTATTTAAGGTACTAAAATCACGCTTTTTAACCGTCTTCGAAAGAGGAAGCTATCAATTCGACCACAATTTTTTTATCTATGTATGTACACTGATTTCTCGAGAATGCTTGAACCGATTCTAATAATATTTTTTTCTATTTTTTTGTTCGAAAGCGTAGACTTCCCGAATGGTCCTGTATTCATCAAGATCTGATGATGGGATCCTCGATCCTCGAGAAAGCCAGAAAAATCTATAATTTTCAATGTGTAGTGAAGTGAGAGAAAATGTCTTTAAAATTAAATACTTGTAATGCATAACGTATTTATTTGAATAGGGATTAATATCATCTTCATAAAAATATCTTCACATATAATGCTTTATTTTGGAACAAATTTGTTTAGCATAAAAAAGGTTATAGTGAGCCAACCTTAAAATATAGAGATATGCTGTCACAGACTTTTTTTAACTTTTAAAGGGGAACAATTCTGTCATACATTATTTTAGCAAAACTTTAACCGTTTTCGCAACGCACGCAGCGGAAGCTCTCAAAAGGGAAAAAAAAACCCGATTTTGAAACATTCTTTATTGGTGTTCCACTTGTACTGGTCTCAGCGTGATGTTATATAGCCTCCTCAATAAATGAGCTATATAACATTGCAATAATTTTTCAAATCGGACGAGTATTTCCTGCGATTAGCGCGTTCAACAAACAAACAAACTCTTCAGCTTTATAATATTAGTATAGATAATAAATTTTAACTACTGTAAACATTAGTTAGCTTAGATTTCATTGCAAGTTGAAAAGGCCTAAAATTTTAAATTTATTAATTAATGTACAATTTAATTAAGTCACAGGTGCTACTAGATTATAAGCAAAGAAACACTAAAACTTGAAACAAATCTTTATTAAGCTTCTATTATAATTTATATTTATAATTCAGCCATAGTAAACACCAGCCATAAGCAATGCTTTCGGAGTGGCATCCAGGACGTTGTTGATTATGGAAAAGGCGAATGGACGATTAATCTCAACAGCTATCAGTTTGTCTGAACAAACTTCTTCTGCCTTATTGGGTTTCTTCACTTCATCTGGAAATATAAATATACTATAAATGAGTCGATTATTATCAAAGCCGGCAATATGACTTTTGGACAATTATTGGTAAATCAGAAAAACGAATTATTGACTTTGTATTCCATTGGCAGTCACAAAACTCTTCTGAACGACATCTTAGATAAATAACAGGTTAAGTATTAACCTTTATTTAATGCAGGTTTTGAACCGTATTCTTTGAAAGAGACGATTATATTCAAATCAATCTGTATTGACATATCAATAACATTTTTTTGTCCAAATGCACAGATTGCCTGCCACCTTTGATAATAGACGACTCAAATATTTGACGTGACTTAATAATGTATGTATTTTCAGTTTGTAACAAGAAAAACCTAGGCGCAAAACGAATTTCCAAAACACATTACCCCTCACTGCTTAGGTTACAAGTCATTAATGTCAGATCTCCCGGATCCATTCTCGGTGCTTTCTTCCAGCACTGGGCACCGCCCTTGTCAAATTTGTCGATTACGATGAAGAGTTCGACACTACGAACTAACCCATAGACAAAACCCTATGAGTTTCTAGCTGGGTTTTCTCAGTAGGACGCGATTCCGATCGTGTGGTAGATTCAGCGAAGCGCTGCTCTTGCTAGGGCTCACCTACTCGTTCGCGCTTAGCTGGAATAACTTCTTAGGCTACCGGCGATAAGGCAGGGAAACGATATTGAGATTGTTTTCGACATCCGACAGTATTTTTATTATCTTTTGTTTTGTCTTCGAAGTTTTCGTTAATATTCTGCTTAATTTACTTTATTTTACTTCTCTTTATTTGATCCCATAGACATCTACAACGTAAATGCCGCCACCTATCTTGAGATAATAGTTCTAAGGTCTCAGTTTTTACAGTACAACGGCTGCCCCACACTTCCAACCGAAACCCATTACTGCTTCACGGCAGAAACAGGCAAGGTTGTGCTACCTACCCGTGCGGACTCACAAAATTACCTACCGCCAGTAATTATGAAAATTATAATTTTACGGGTTTTTATTTTTATTACACGATGTTATTCCTTCACCGTGGAAGTCATCGTGAACATTTGTTAAGTGCGTATTTCATTAGGAAAAAATGGCTAAAAAAAAACAAAGCCGCTGCCTGCTGCTCAGGATTCTCCAAACCTTGGATGAACAGGGTAATATTACAGCACTTATGAAACAACGTGAAGGAAAATTCCCTGAAAACCCACTATAATAGAAAAAAGTGTCTCTAGGTAGTATGGATGACCTTTGTTTCGGTGGTGAGTGGTGCGATGATAAAAACGAGATGACGGTATCATCTTAAATGATTTCTTAGAGATTTCTCCATTGAACGTTGTTGTTAGAAAGGGTTCTTTAAAATAAAGTCAACTGTACAAGAACGGTTTCTTTTTTCTGTGAAAGTCACATAAAATTAATTAAGCAACTGTAGGTACATACCGAAACTATTTTCTTTAATTATTTTATCAACAAGATAGGTATCGGTCAAGAAACTTTTGATTACACCGGGCTCACAGTTCTTGGTCACACCACAGAGCTGGGCACGTTTTTTATCAAACAATATGTCCAAGTTTTGTATCTGAAACGTTGGGTTCAAATTGAGAATCACGCTTACAATAAGAAGATATTTGTATATAAATAAAACATTTAGGTCTGTGTTTGTCTTTTATGGGCTTCTGAATAAATCAATCCGACTGTGACGAAATTTGATGCGGTTATCGTTGGCATTTCCAGAATTGCTTGTCATATTACCATTAACGTATGATAGTGAGATGTGGTCAGATGGTTGTTTCAATAAATCGATGTTTCTCATACAATTAGCGATATTCCCAACGGAAGCCCAATGATGCGGTACAAAATAATTTTAGGTTTTTTTTTTCAAATCCGTCAATTATGCAGTTAATTAGTATAAAGAGATAATAGCATTAATTAGCAAATATTTAAAATAGAAGATTTAACATAATTTGAATCTTATCACACCGCTTTGAGAGCCTTCGTAATGTCCAGTTGAGTTAATATCTCTCCAAGGGGCAGATGTAGCTCCACGCATTTATATTCTTGGAATGGACTGATCTGTGTGAAAACTTCGGCATTCGAACTTCTGAACTTCTGTATGAGCTTAGATAATCCATTGATCTCATCAGGGAGAATTATGAATAGTGTCAAGTCGCCTCCCTTGAGGGATATGCTGATGAACTGCAAAAAAATTATATGTGAAGGAACAATCTCTAAAATCTTAATTTTCTGAGCGCATATGGTTTTGTTTTTTTGTATTTCCATGTAATTTTTTTACATTTAATGGACTGAGTTTGGCTATCTCTTCAGTTGAAGAAGTGCTTGCTGTGGACTATGCTTAAATCTTGCTTCTCTCTGTAACTTGTCTTGAATGGTTTAGTTTACAAAGAGTGTTCCATAATGCTCTCAGAATTAGTTCGAAAGCTAACCTCTCTTGAATGGAATTTTAACATTTTCTAATCTGTCTTGTGCACTGACACTACCCGTCCACAGAGTACTGGACTGGGAAGAAGGACCTTTTTGTCGTGGTATCGCAATTACATGGACTATCCCTACAACCTTCAACGAGTATTGGAATTGTTAGGGTTGACACAGAATTTCCCGAGCGCTATGACATGTCCTTCTACAAAGGAAGCTTGCTGAGAGTACTCAGAGGTAGGCAGGACTTGGCTCTGTCACCTCGTGATCGGAGGCGTTCGCATCGGGGTCGGGGTGACCGGTCTCAGGTACCTCGGCCTCGAACTGGATGGTCGTTGGAGCTTCCGCGCTCACTTTAAGAAATTGGGCCCTCGGCTGATCGCGACGGCCGGCTCTTTGAGCCGGCTTCTTCCTAACGTCGGGGGTCCCGATGAGGCGGCGCGCCGCCTATACATGGGGGTGGTGCGGTCGATGGCACTATACGGTGCTCCGGTATGGTGCCAGGCCCTGACCCGCAAGAACGTCGCCGCGCTGCGACGTCCGCAGCGCGCGATCGCGGTCAGGGCCATCCGAGGATACCGCACCGTCTCCTTCGAGGCGGCGTGCTTGCTCGCCGGGGCGCCACCCTGGGACCTGGAGGCGGAGGCGCTCGCTGCCGATTACCGGTGGCGTAGCGACCTCCGCTCTAGGGGGGAAGGGCGCCCCGGCGAAGGAGTAGTTCGAGCGCGGAGGCTCCAATCTCGGCGGTCCGTGCTGGAGGCGTGGTCTCGCCGCTTGGCGGACCCGTCGGCCGGCCTCCGAACCGTCGAGGCGGTCCGCCCGGTTCTCGCGGACTGGGTGGGCCGCGACCGCGGATGCCTCACCTTCCGGCTAACGCAGATGCTTACCGGCCATGGTTGTTTCGGCCGGTACTTGCACAAGATAGCCGGAAGGGAACCGACGGCGCAGTGCCACCACTGCGCGGACCGCGACGAGGAAGACACAGCGGAACACACACTGGCGCGTTGCTCTGGATTCGACGAGCAACGCGCCGCCCTCGTCGCGGTCATAGGAGAGGACCTCTCGCTGCCGCGCGTCGTGGCTACGATGCTCGGCAGCGACGCGTCCTGGAAGGCGATGCTCGACTTCTGCGAGTCCACCATCTCGCAGAAGGAGGCGGCGGAGCGAGAGAGGGAGAGCTCTTCCCTTTCCGCACCGATCCGTCGCCGTCGAGCCGGGGGCCGGAGGCGGGAATACGCCCGTACGTCCCGGCCCCTGTAGGTGGCGGCCTCCCCCCGGTGAAGGTCAAGGGGCGACCTGAGGGGGTGAGGCCGCGCGGCGCGCTACCAGCACTCTAGCGCGCTGCCGTGGAGTGAATAGAGCGACCGGTCGACGGTGTATCGCGTCCCGACCCGGCAGGCTGGTTCTGGTCCAGCGGGGTATTCCGGGACACCAGCGGCACCGTCTGGGCGGCCCGACGGGCTGCCGTACCGAGACGGCCGACGTTTCAGAGCCTTCGATTCGCCTCGAAGGCTCCGTCGGCTGGGCGTCCTTGGGGTGAGCCGCGCCGTCTGGTTGTAGTGTTGACCGCGGTAGTCCCCCTACCTCATTCGGGTTCTGACCTCGGAGGGGATCGGACGTCGGGTGTAAGAGTGCAGGGGAGTCGTTTAGTGGGTGGGCCCTAAAATCCTTGGGCCCGCGGTCTGCTCACAACACCATGCAGATCGTTGAGTCTCACATACCCTGCGCGCCCCTTTTGCGCGGGGACCTCGTAGGAGGTTCGGCCCTCTACCCGAAAAAAAAAAAAAGGACTTGGCTCTGCCCCTAGTATTTGATGACGTCCATAAGCGGCGGTAACCACTCGCTATCAGGTGGGCCGCATGCTTGTCGGCCTTCAAAGGCAATAAAAAAGTCCATAAGTGACAGTAGACACTAACCCCTTAGTTGGGCCGATATTCGTCCGCTTCTATAGAAATTAAAAAACAAAATAACTACTCGTCCTTGCTAATTGAAACCATTGTAATTCTTTAAGCTTTGTAGTTAATTCTTTATTTACGAGAACATGTATCCACCATTATAATCAGCTTAGATCTTAAATGAGCAATAGAAATAAAAATAAACACTAACCTGTGCATCATATTCCGGAACTTTGGCATACTTTACGATTGCCTTTCCAACCAAAGCAGGTGTCTTTACCTTTTTCTTAGCGTTCAAATAGAAATCAATTGTTTTCACTTTCGTTGGATTGAACCCAGTATTGTAGTCAAGCTGAAATTTATGCAATGATGTTATGAAAACACAAAAAAAGTAAAACTTAATCGGACACGAAACAGGTGAATGTCGTCGTGGCCTGTTAGATAAGATGTTCAGTGCTCGTATCGAGTGATGTGATTCAGATCGGGGTTCAAATCCTGGAACAACTTTCTGAGGAAATACATACATACCTAATTCAGGTACCTCCACGATGAAAGAATAACATCGTGTAGAAAACAAAAACCATAAAATTTATTAGTTCCTGTAGTTGAGTATTATGAGTATAAGGCCGCACAGGTGGGTACTATCACTCTACCTTTTTCTTCAGTGAAACAGTAAAGCATTCCGACATGAAGGTGGGGCAGCTTTTCAGCGCGCAATCTCAGTTTTATAGTAATAAAACTGAGATTTTAAACTGATTTTTCAAGGTGTTCGGCGATATTTACGTTGTTGATGTTCATGGGCTTAGGTAACCGCTTAACTCCAGATGGGCCGTCAGGTTTTTTGCCTATCCGAGCGCTAAAAAATGCACCATAACATAACGATAAAAACATAACAATAAAATTGACACTCCGGCTTAAAGATGAATAACGGCAGTATCTCTGTGATGTCTACAGACGTAGTCAATATCAAGTGAGCCCTGGGTTCCTCTGTCAATTTACAGCAATAAAATAAAAATAATAAAAATCCTTCCTCTCCCTTAATATTACCTCTAAATCTAGTGAGCCAACTACAATGAAGCCATCGCCACCCTTGAATATGCTTGGATCAACTAAATCTGTGGTTCCATATTCGTCGAATTCTTCTTCAACCTAAAAAAAAAACTCATATTGTGATGTTTGATTTGTAAAAAAAAAGCACTTACTTCTTTACAATCATTCCTTTCGTTGAAAACAAACATACCTTCAACACATAAATAATATTTTTACTGCGAATATATATATTTATTTTTATGTCTATTCATAAAGAAAGTTGTGTCTAAGCTATAAATTAGCCAAGACAATTCTTATTATTTTTATTTAAGACATAAAATGAATCTAGATCTTGCGAAGTACATGAATTATTCTGTTTTTTTTTTTTTTTTTTTCGTACACTGAGCGAACACTAATAAGTATACACAGCATACCTTTTCCTCCTTTACTTGCCAAGGACTTTTATTGTTGATTGCTTATCGAGTTCATGTTATATAAAACCAAACAAAAATATTGGAAACGAGTTACTATTTCCCCATCTTGACAAGTAAAAATATCAACAGCACAAGAAAATGTTAAGCCTATGTAAATCTATAGGTATTGGTGATTATATTTTTATCAACACTATTACCGACGATATTTTTACAACAAATTAGTTACTTGCAAAAAGACTGCAAATGGAGGAACTTAGGAACTTATCTGCTGGAAGATACATACCCACTCATTTATTTCTTTGGCCGCTTTCTGTGGTCTATCGAAGTCTACATTTCCTGTTTTCCCTTTAAAGTATTGCGAATAGGTTTTCTTGAAAGCCGGACAAAATTGGTCTTCGTCATCAGCGTATATTTTCGATGTATACTTGAGTGGAAGATCACTGTCAAATGTCCTTTCGTTTCCTATTTTGAAACTCCTCTTCACCTAATAACAAATTAAAACTTACAGTTATAAAAAAAAACGAAGGTTCATATCTCGTAGTGTCATATGTGATAAATTTGTTTTTTGTTTTTATTGCTTAGGCGGGTGGCCGAGCTCACGGCCCACCTGGTGTTAAGTGGATACCGGAGCCCGTAGACATCTACATCGTAAATGCCACCACCTACCATGAGATATAAGTTCTAAGGTCTCAGAATAGTTACAACGGCTGCCCCACCCTTCAAACCGAAACGCCTTACTGCTTCACGGCAGAAATAGACAGGGCGGTGTTACCTACCCGTGCGGACTCAAGAGGTCCTACCACCAGTAATTACGCAAATTATAATTTTGCGGGTTTGATTTTTACTACACGATGTTATTCCTTCACCGTGGAAGTCAATCGTGAACATTTGTTAAGTACATATTTTATTAGAAAAATTGGTACCCGCCAGCGGGATTCGAACACCGGTGCATCGCTATATACGAATGCACCGGACGTCTTATCGTTTAGGCCACGACGACTTTTTTGNACCACCAGTAATTACGCAAATTATAATTTTGCGGGTTTGATTTTTACTACACGATGTTATTCCTTCACCGTGGAAGTCAATCGTGAACATTTGTTAAGTACATATTTTATTAGAAAAATTGGTACCCGCCAGCGGGATTCGAACACCGGTGCATCGCTATATACGAATGCACCGGACGTCTTATCGTTTAGGCCACGACGACTTTTTTGTGTATTTTTTCGCATTTATAGCGTAGCTACAGTGTAAAGTAAATCAATATTCTTTTATCTTAATCCTACAGGCATTTTACCACTCTAGACACCAAATCCGTAATACTAAATACCAAACTACGAAATTATGAAACTTTTTGTTTTTCATATGTCCTACCAGAGGCTGGTATAATGTGGTACAATGTAATATAATATACATATATACATCTACATACATCAGTACTATTCTTCAATCCCACTATATCTGTGATAGTTTCAAAAGTCTCTCCTTTGGAATATAAAGCAAGCTGCCCCAAAATGTTGAAAATGGGCACGGATGTTACAGCGAGAGATTTTCCTGGATAATATTTTTGAAGTTCCTGTAAAAATATATAATATTTTAAACACCGCCAAGACTTAAGCTCTATTGTAGTTCAATATAATATTTATGTCTTCAGTTAGTTTAATTAAAAAGTTTATTAACAGTATTTAAATAATTCATTTTATTTTGCCATATTTCGCACAAACTACTTGTAGATAATTCAATTTGCTAGGCAGATATTTTAAATGCATGTTCAAAATATATTAGGTTTCATGGTCACAGAAGACGGGACACTAAAGACAAAGATAGATTGAAAATATTAAAAAGTGGAAGATAATCGAACCGTATAAATGATTTCGAACATATCGTCGATGTGTGAAAAGTTACTTAAGAAATTACTACGATAATAATATCTTGATGAATATCTTAGGAATGATTGGATCAATTTAACAGACAACGTATATTACAATACAATTCCCAACATAATATATATTTGACTGATATGATACTATGTATAAGAAATTTTAAGTACTACACTTACAAAAAACAGGTTCCTCGTTAACTCATTACTATTTGCAGCAAGCCAGTTGCTTATATTTGCGTTTGGATTATTATCTAAAAACATAAGAGTATCGTAATATATTGCTAAGTAATAGCTGATAAATTATACGCTTTCACCGACAGGCAGGGAGACACAGGAATCGTGGTATTAAAAAAAAATCGCACGGCATACATTTCTAGTGGTAAGGCGTATTGTCAATCGTCTTGCCAAATTCTACAAATAAGTAGTCTCGCGTTCTGTTTTGATGGGTTGGGATAATTCGTATACAAATGAAGCTTTGACTCCGGGTCCCAAAGTGGGTGGCGATATTCACCCTGTGTTCTCTATCGGCTTTTAATATCGCATAGACTTAAAGCGCTTCCTGAAACCCAATTCTATAAAAAATGTATGTACGAGTATGTAGAAATAACAAAAATTAAGAATGGAACACGTTTTAATTCAGGCATGTGTAAACTTTTATAAATAAATTAAATAAATTTTAACTACAAACCTTCTATGAATCCGGCGGCTAACAACCCAAATAAGGAACACAAACAACTCAACAAGGACTTCTTCATTGTGAAATGTCCCCGCAATTTCTGGAAATCGAATTGTTAAAACTTCACTTATATAAAACCAATTTTAATTAATTCTCTTTGTTTAATTCAAAGATAAAATCGAATAATGTAACGTACTTAATTAAAAACAATAAAATTTATTGAGTCGTAATCGTTGTTGACGGTTTTCTAAAACATGTTAGAAAACGTGACGCGTAAATGGATCTTTGCTAGAGTGTCCTTTACGAGTTCCATCTTGGATGGGATCGGACGCTTGGGCAGAGTGGCGAAGGATTTCTGAATGCTGTTCGATTCCCATTATTCTTAATGTTAGTTTTCCTCGAATTAACCTATGGAATTCACAAAATTGGTTGAATTGGAAATAAAAATTATTAAGTTTGCCTATTAAATTGAATCTAAACTATGATCTTGCTATTTTCTTGAAATAATAAAGAAATTTTATGGATTTTCATTCACCTAACGTAGTATTTTTTTTCTTATTACTTAGCTTGGACGAGCTCACGGCCCACCTGGTATTAAGCCACCTGGTTTACGAAATAAATGCTGCCACCTACCTTGACTCTCTGAAGTCTGAAAATATGTCAGTTATTGAAAGACAATGCAGCATGCTTGGTGCTTTTTAAATATTCTTTGAACTGATTGTTTCTTATAAATTATTGTGAAATCTTACTTAATAGACAAGGCTACATGAGGCTTTATCATTTACAAATTGTTTTTCACAAATTGATGTCATTGTTGTTTAAGTTTTGCTTATAATGTGTATCTTTTTATAAGTGTTATTTTAATACGGGTATCTGGAGAACAAAATTTTATTATTTTTTAATGATTATTACATACTCATTATAAAATTGTTTAAAGCTCCCTTGACTGAAGGTACCCAAAGTACTCGTATCCTAAAAATAAGTCTGGCAATATGAGATCGAGTTAAGAATCAGAGTAGGTAGGCGGCAGCTTGGCACTTCTAATGTCTAAAAGTGAAGTAAACCATTCCCCATCAAGTAGAGTTTCAACATTATGACAGACGACTTTCTATAATGCTGGATCATGAAACAAATCCACATAGGAATTGAAATGAAATAGGACCATTATATTATACTGTTTTTGAACTCTAAATATTTATTTTTGCAGTCCAGACTTAGCCATTATTCTTATGCAGTTGCGACTTTAATTTTATTTCTCAAAATGAGCGTTGATATTCGTATTGTTATATCCCTCGGATAGCCGGAGCAATGTCTGTGAAATAAATGAAAAAATTTCAAGCATTAGAACTTTTCAGAAATATCTGGTCAATTTGAGTGTTGCGAGAAATTTCGGAAAGATTCTACTACGTTCTTTACGACTTTGGCAGGTCGGTCCAGTCCAATTAGGACTAAAATGAGAGTGGGCAACGGAGAAGTCTAGCTCGTAGCTTAAATAGTACTAGCAATGGAGGCGAAGTTAATAATGCGAAAACGTATAGTGTATCATTGTATAATAGTACTTAAAATTATTAATGGCGTTGAGACCTGTGAATGTCAATGGAGTAATTTTTAAAGAAATGTCATTTGGATAAATCAGTACGCTGTTATATCAAGGCGCAAGCCTATTTTCTAAAGGTCTATGTACGATTGTATGGAAATAGTGCTAGTTTTGACGCGAAAAAATCATTAAGATGCAATGTTTCACAGTCACTGTCGGGTGCAGTCTATGAGGAAATATTCAATAGATTCTTAGAGAGTGCAGGAGACTAGCTCTATAGGCTAATTGCCTGTAGGTTGCACTGCCTCGTATAGCATTAGTAAAAAGAGTACTTAAAACTGCAATGAAACTGATCGATAACCTACTAAATTTATGTTATCCTTTAACAAAATACGAAAACGTTAGAATTATTTTATTACCTTTCACTTCCTGTAGTTAAAGTAAATTTTGGTAAATTAAGTCACTAGAGGTATTTATTATTCGATATTGTACTTCAGAAAACAGACGCTGATAAAATTAAAATTTTAAAATAAATTTACCACAATTGTAGTATTAATTTAAACACTCTGCAATGTCCCTGCCAAATTTTAATGTTTTCTGGGATACGATGAATTTAGAATTATATAAATGACGTACCGATTAGACTGTTGATATTCCAATATGGCGTCAAATAACCTCAAATTCCAAAAAGAATGGTATGCCGTGAAATCTGATGAAAAGTTTTATTTGTATTAATATAATAATAATTTGGTTTTATTCGTATTTAAATATAATAATATGGAACTTCTCCATACAAATTTCAACATCGCTTGCATCTCCCGGAGCATCGAATTTCGTGAAGAATAATATTGTTTAATATAATTATAATACCTACAATTCTTCATACCGAGAAGGAAGTTGCAAGGAAAATATGATCACGCAAAATACATAAAATAGCAGCCACTACATTACACTTGCTAATGATGTCTGTGCGGTTTTGAAAATCATTCTTCCTATTTCTGCCGCAAACCAGTCATCCATTGCGATTTGAAGTGTGAGGCTCCCTAAAACATACCGCTTAGGTTACAAATAATTTGGTAGGCAGCGGCTTGGGTCTGCCCCTGGCATTGCTGAAGTCCATGGGCGACGGTAACCACTCACCATCGGATGGGCCGTATGCTCGTCTGCCTACAATAAATGCTGCAATAAAAAAAATTATAATGTCAGATTCACTGCATCCATAATACATCTAAGTCTTAGATTGATCTCACGGTGGATGACGGTACAGTACTTGAGTGTAATAAAGAACAGTATAAATATAATTAGTGAACTTTTTTTACTATTTTTTTATTGCTTAGATGGGTGGACGAGCTCACAGCCCATCTGGTGTTAAGTGGGTACTGGAGCCCACAGACATCTACAACGTAAAGGTTCTAAGGTCTCAGTAAAGTTACAACGGCTGCCCCAGCCTTCAAACCGAAACGCATTATTGCTTCACGGCAGAAATAGGCAGGGTGGTGGTACCTACCCGTGCGGACTCACATGTATGGGGTAGATTCCACTGCGAGTGATAATTAATTTGAAAAGGATGATAGTGGAGGGAGTTCTTATGGTTGCGTTTCAGCATGGAATTTCTGAAATGCTCGGGGTGTTTTTTAATTTGGCTTATATTTCATTCAATTTTAGTTTGTTGCTAGATACCGGCTTACTGTTTCACAGTAATGCGTTTCGGTTTGTAGGGTGAAGAACTCATATCTTAAGGTGGGTGGCGGCATTCACGTTGTAGATGTGTATATGGGCTCCAGTAACCACTTAACACCAGGTGGTATGTGAAGCTCGACAACCCGTCTAAGCAATAATTAAAAAAAAAATGATCCTGTATTCATGTCTGACAATAAAATATGTATTTACAACCATTGACACTAACATGACACATTCATGTCCAAAATTGAAATAAAGAAAATATCTTTTGAAGAAAAAGTAGTTACATACATTTTGATGCATCCTTTACAACAAGATCCCAAAACTTTCTACTACTACCCATACGTAATAAATAATATGTGCGGTTAAGAATGAAGGAAAAATTCAGTGAACTCAAAGTTTATGATTACCTACGAGACCGCGATCAGAGACCAGGGAATGAGGTTCAAACAGTTTCATGTTATCATGCTATTGAAGTTTTCTAAAGCACAAATAAAGGAAATTTTGATTGGTTCTTGTTTATTTTTTTATACCTCATTTATTAGAGATATAAAAATGAATTGCTGTTCGTTAGTCTCGCTAAAACTCGAGAAAGACTGGACCGATTTGGCTAATTTTGGTCTTGAATTATTTGTGGAAGTCCAGAGAAGGTTTAAAAGGTAGATAAATATGAAAATGCTCGGCATGAAATAAAAATAAAAATTTTGTTTTTTCTTTGATGTGACCTCCGTCGGACGGATTCCTTTTGTTTGTTTTAAGTTTATTTTATATAAAAGCTTAGGTCTTTTATCGATTGAGGCACTACGAAGTCTGCCTGGTCAGCTAGTTTAATATCAAACCTTCATTATTTTCAACCATATGGATGTTTAATTGGAAATGTCCCGAGCCACTTATCACTTAGGAACATGGCGAATCTAGTGATTACTGATACGGAGTTGTCGAACATCAATTTGAAGAATTATGCCAAGGACAATAGATATATACTACTTTATTTGTTTAAATACTCGACTACATAGCACGATGATTCTTTAGATTTAAATAAACTAGAGACACAACGTATAGTTTGTTTTGTAATATATCACATTCAGAGAGTACATGCTATATGCGGCCTGGAATCTATGGAATTCAATGATGTTATCTTTGTTGATATACAAGCATTCTTCTTTTATGGATATCTGACGGAGAAAACGATTAAGATTAAATTTGCAATGTAGATATATACCAGTAGATAAAAATTCAGCTTGAGAAAGGAAAGAAAACAACCAAATTAATACAATTTTCTTCAATCGAAAATTATGATTTCTTGGGATTTTTTTTTATAAATTTCATTGGACATACCGGCGTTTGATGCAGTGGTAGCTTATTAATTTTAACTATTGTAAACAGGTAGTTTAGATTTCACTGCAGGTTGAAAAAAAACAAAAAATTCGTTGAATTTTAAATTTATATATTGATTAAATTTAATTAATTCACAGGTGCTACCAGATTTTAAGCAAATACACACTAAAACTTGAAACAAATCTTTATTAAGCTTCTATTATAATTTATTCAGCCATAGTAAAAACCAGCAATAAGCAATGCTTTCGGAGTGGTACCCATGACGTTGTTGATTATGGAAAATGCAAATGGACGATTAATCTCAACAGTGATCAGTTTGTCTTTGTCTGAACAAACTTCTTCTGCCTTATTGGGTTTCTTCACTTCATCTGAAAATATAGATATACCATAAATAGTTGTCGTGATAATACTTAAGGTATTTCAATTATAAATTAATAATATGGTTTCAGCTTGTAACAAGAGAAACCTAGGTACAAAACGAATTACCAAAACGCATTACCCCTGACCGCTTAGGTTACAAGTCATTTATTATGTCAGATTCACTGGATCCATTCTCGGTGCTTTTAGATTTTTTCAGCACCGGTCACCGCCCTCGTCAAACTCGCCACCATGAAGAGGTCCACGCGCGAACCAACTTATAGACAAAGCCCTCTGAGTTTCTCGCCGGATCTTCTCAGTGGGACGCGATTCCATCGTACGGTAGATTCAGAGAAGCACTTCTATTGCTAAGGCTGGTGTTAGCAAATTGCCTCTGGTTGAGCACATGAGCTCACCTACCCATCCGCGCTTAACTGGATGGGTAGGTGATGGACTGGAATAGCCTCTTAAGCCACCAGAGATTAGGTACGCAAACGATAATAATATTAAGATTATTTCCGACATATAAATTGCGCTAGTAGTCAAAACTGAATATTTTTTCGATTATCGATGATTTAGGTACAATGATTTGCACTAGTAATTTTGTTTCTATATTTCTGACGATTCTATTACTGTGCACATAATCTCAGCGTATTCTTATTTCCGTATTCGTGTTTAAATGATATAATGCTCGTATGTTAGTTAATACGCTGAATAGATTTTAATATACGAAATAGTCTCAATAACGACAATCATAGTTTGCAAGATGCCTCCTGTCAGTTTGAGTTTATATTAAATATTAGTAATATATTATTATATTCATGCCTACATAGACATGAATATAATAATATATATATATAGGTATTATGTATGTATTATGTAATATGTATGTATAGAACTAAGCTCACATATCTAAATAATTTAGATATTTAAGCTTAGTTCTTAGAAAATCGATTTCATGTTACCAAACGTTAATTTAAATGAGTTATGCGGGTGGAAGTCACGTAAAATTATTTAGGCAATTGTAAAGTCGCAGGTACATACCGAAACTATTTTCTTTAATTATTTTATCAACAAGATAGGTTTTGGTCAAGAAACTTTTGATTACACCGGGCTCACAGTTCTTGGTCACACCGGAGAGCTGGGCACGTTTTTTATCAAACAATATGTCCAAGTTTTGTATCTGAAACGTTTATTTCAAATTGATAATACATAAGAGATATACATATATGTATAAATATATCCTACATAATGTATACATAATAAATAAAACATGTAGGTCTGTGTTTGTCTTTTATGGCTTTCTGAAACCTGGTGTTAAGTGGTTACCGGAGCCCATTAACACCGATGACGTAAATGCCGCCACCAACCTCGAGACATAAGTTAGGTCTCAGTTTTTACAATACAATGGCTGCCCCACCCTTCAAGCCTAAATACGTTAATTATTGTTTCACGGCAGAAATAGGCAGGGTAGTGGTACCTACCCGTGCGGACTCACAAGAAGTTCTACCACCAGTAATTATGCAAATAGTATTTTTGCGGGTTTCATTTTTATTACACGATATTATTCCTTCAATGTGGAAGTCAATCCTGAAAAATTGTCAAGTACGGACTTCATTAGAAAAAATGGTACCCGCCTGCGTTACATACATCGCTTTGATATTATTATGATTACACAAGGCGTCTTATCCTTTAGGTCACGATGACTTCAAATCATTAATTAAGGTCGAAATTTTAAAATAATTTTAAAAATATCACACCGTTTTGAGGGCCTTCGTAATGTCACCTTGAGTTAATATATATCCAAGGGGCAGATGTAGTTCGACGCATTTATATTCCTGGTATGGACTGATTTTATTGAAAACGTCAGTTTTCCAACTTTGGAATTTCTGTGTGAGCTTATATAATCCATTGACCTCATCGGGGAGAATTATGAACAGTGTGTAGTCACCTCCCTTGAGCGATATGCTGATGAACTAAAAAAAAGGGAATGAAAAATCATTTAAATATTAGGTCCTTACATAATAATATCAAAGTAGCGTTTTGTCGTATAGACCTCTTTGATCTGAAATATCTCCTCTTTGGTGAAGAATTCAATTCATTTGTTTTTTCCTCATTATTTTTAAGCTATTACATAGCTTTTATCGCGGGCTTTGAGCGCGGCGACCGAATCAAGAAATTCCTTAACGAAAATAAAACCTAACACCCCCACTCCGCCTACCATGTAGCTCACGTTCAACACATTCACACGTTGCGCTTGTGTAGTGTTTGTGAATAAGCGCGCGGCGTGACGTCGCACTGCATGCGCATCATGAAAAGTCTGCACATCTCTCTCGCGCGCTGTCTAGCTTGTGAGTGTGAAGGGGACAGTTAATGTTTTGCTTTTGTTAATATTTATAAATATAGCGTGGTCTTATTTTATTATTGTTTTAATATTAAATTATTATTGTCTAATTATAATTGCATAAGTTGATAAAAAAGCTATGCAATAGCTTTACCGCGGCAGTCCCCGAGTGCCACACGTATTTTTTTCTTTGGCGTCACTTACCGCACAATGGAAAACCTAATTTATCGGTATAGTTACGGGTACGAGTTCTACCGTGGTACCAGTGCTGCAGAAACAGCTCGTAAGATTAATGATGTGTACGGCGCGGCGCTGGTGTCGCAAAAGAAAGCACGATACGTTTTTGATTTCAACGTTTTCGTCGGACATCAAAGTGGAAAATGAAGAATGAAAGAGGATCCATCACAAAGCACTTCAGAGATAGCTGTAGACTTCGGGGTAAGTCATAAAACTGTATTAATCCACTTGAAGCAAATCGGGAAAGTAAAAAAACTTGAACGTCGACTGCTGTGTTACTTTGCTCAATAATGAAGAAATTTTAAATCTAATATTACTTGTAATGAAAAGTCGACACTGTACGATAATAGGAAGCGCTCGTCACAATGGTTGAACCCTGATGCAAATCCAATGCCAAATCCTGCCCCAAGCGAAAATTGATTCAGAAAAAGATACTTGTGACTGTTTGGTGGACTAGCCCGGTGTCGTTCACTACAGCTTTCTAAAATCTGGCCAAACGATTACGGCAGATATTTATTGTCAGCAACTGTAAACCATAAGGAAAGAACTAGCTGCTAAACAACCGAGATTGGTAAATCACTCTAGGCAGTGCTGCTTCACGACAACGCAAGACCATACACTGCACAAGTAACAACTACTAATTTAGATGAGCTACAATTAAAACATCTGCGACATCCATCGTACTCCCCGGACCTTACTTTAGAGCAGATTACCATTTTTTCCGGAATTTGGACAACTTACAAGGAACAAAATTAAACTCCGATGCGGCAGCCCAAGCCTCCTTTAAAGAGTTTATTAATTCTCGCCCCCATGCTTTTTTTAGTAAAGGGATCAATGAACTATAGCACAACATAGATAACAAGGGTGCATACTTTGATTTTAGATATATTAAACAAAAAATCCTTTATATTCTTCCCGTACAAAACGCCAATTTCATAATTATGTTATGTAAGGACCAATATTAATTTTCTGGGCGCATATGTTTTTGGTTTTCGATGTTATATTTTATTATTTAATGTACTGAATTTGGCTATTATTCCAGTTCACGAAGTGTCTGTAGATTATGATTAAGCCTTTCTTTTCTTTGTAACTTGTTTCGAATGGTTTATAGAGAGGATTCTGTAGTGCTCTCAGAAATAATCCGAGAGCTGTCTTCTTCTAAATGGGTTTCGAATATTTTCTCATCTATTTTATGCACTGTCCTTATTATACCGTCCACTGAGTATGTATGTATTTTATTGCACATATTGCTGTTGCTATTTCCGGTTTAAATTTAGTTGTGAAATGATCCTGTACCGTCTTAGCTATTTGTTAGAAAATGTTAAAATATTATGAGAATTGTCTTCAAATAAAGCTTGAAAACAGATTAGCTGCCCCTGGAATTACTGTGCCCCTGGAATTACTGATGTTTTGTGTTCACTGCGAAGGAGGACCTTTTTGCCATGGAACAGCAATTACGTCGACGATGGCTACAAACTTCCACGAGTATTGGAATTCTTGGGGTCGACATTTGGGGGAGAATTTCGGAGTGCAAAAAAAAAAAAATTTTACTTCATATAAAAGACAGCCGTTCGGATTGTCGATAACCCCATTCTCACGGATATCTGGAACCGAAGCCTTCATCCACAGTGCGTTTCCAGAGATCTTTTCTGCTACGTACCAACTGACTCTGGAATGAACTTCCATGCACGGTATTCCCCGAGCGTTATGACATGTTCTTCTTCAAACGAGGCTTGCAGAAACTACGCAAAAGTAGGCAATGACTTGGCTCTGCTCCTGTCATTATTAACATCCATGAACGGCCACGGGCCACTGGTCACCAGGAGGGTCAATTGCTTGTCTGGCTTCAAAGGCAATGAAAAAAGTTTATAAGCGACGGTAAGCACTAACCTAAATCGTCAATTTCTGTAGTAATTAAAAAAACGAAACACTCCACCGTACTAACTGAAACCGCTGTAACTCTTTAAGCTGTTTATTTTTCAATTTATTTACGAGAACAATTACCGATTTTAAAGTTGGCGCAANGTCACCAGGAGGGTCAATTGCTTGTCTGGCTTCAAAGGCAATGAAAAAAGTTTATAAGCGACGGTAAGCACTAACCTAAATCGTCAATTTCTGTAGTAATTAAAAAAACGAAACACTCCACCGTACTAACTGAAACCGCTGTAACTCTTTAAGCTGTTTATTTTTCAATTTATTTACGAGAACAATTACCGATTTTAAACGTGGCGCAATTTAAGCATAAAGTAAAAACAAATATAGCTAAAAATAAACACTGACCTGTGCATCGTATTCCGGAACTTTGGCATACTTTACGATTGCCTTTCCGACCAAAGCAGGTGTCTTTACCTTTTTCTTAGCGTTCAAATAGAAATCAATTGTTTGCACTTTCGTTGGATTGAGCCCAGTATTGTAGTCAAGCTGAAATTTTTTAAATGATGCTAAATATGGGAACACAAAAAAAAACTTGATTGGACAGTAAACAGGTGAATGTCGTCGTGGCCTGTTAGAGTAATTTGATGTCTACAGACTTCAGTAGTCAAGTGAATCTTGAGTTCTTCTGCCAATTTACAGAAATAAAATAAATATTTAAAAAATCCTCTCTTTAATATTACCTCTAGTTCGAGAGAACCAACTACAACGAAGCCATCGCCCTCCTTAATTACGCTTGCATCAACTAAATCTGTGTTTCCGTATTGATCGAAATCTTCTTCGAGCTATAAAAAAAAACATATTGCCATGTTTGATTCATGAAAAAAACACTAAAACGCTTACAATCATTCTTTTATTGAAAACAAATATAGCTTCGACACTTAAATAATATTTTTACTGCAAATATGTATATTATTTATTTATTTATAATTCTATATACAAATAAAGTTGTATATAAGGTATAAATTAGTTAAGACAAAATTGTAAATTAGTTATCTTTACTTCGCAAATGTTAAATTAAAATTAATGTTATTAAGAAATTTGTTGAAATATCAAAAACAACACAAATATATTTTAATTAAGACTTGAAAGGAATCTAGATCTTGCCGAGTCATTTATATTCTGATTTACACTAGTAAGTGTACATAGCATACCTTTTTCTCCTTTGTTTGTCAAGAATGTTTTTTGTTAATTGCTTATCGAGTTCATGTTTTATAAAAGTAAATAAAAATATTGGAAAAAAGTTACTTTGTCCCCACCTTGACAATTAAAAACGTCAACAGCATAAGAAAATGTTAAGTATAAATGAACGTAAATCTAGAGGTGTCGGTGATTATTGTCAAATTTTACAATTAGTTATTTGCATAAAGAACATAAAGGTTTCCTACCTTTATATTTCTAGGAATTTATCTACTGAAGATACATACCCACTCATTTATTTCTTTTGCCGCTTTCTGTGGTCTATCGAAGTCTACATTTCCTGTTTGCCCTTTAAAGTACTTCGAATAGGTTTTCTTGAAAGTCGGACAAAATTTATCTTCGTCATCGGCGTATAATTTTGATGTATATCTGAGTGGAAGTTCACTGTCATCAAATGTCTTTTCGTTTGCCATTTGGAAAGTCCTCTTCACCTAATAACAAATTCAAATTTACAGTTAATAAAAAAAAAAACTAAGGTTCATATCTCGTAGTGTCATAATATATGATAGTTTTTTTTTTTATAAATTACAAAATTTAATGTAAAATAATAAAACCAGCAAAATAGTTATTAAAAGAAACTTGCTCAAAATTAAGTTTTATTAGACTCTGAGGTTTTAGACCATCTTTCTTTCGTTGCCATTGAAGGCACATGTGTCTACAACGTACCTGATCGTGGTTATTGTGGTGGTGAGGCAAACTAAATATCGTATCTCTTCTATTCTCTCAACAAAAATCTATATATATAAAAATGAATTGCTGTTCGTTAGTCTCGCTAAAAATCGAGAACGGCTGGACCGATTTGGCTAATTTTGGTCTTGAATGATTTATGGAAGTCCAGAGAAGGTTTAAAAGGTATATAAATATGAAAATGCTCAGAATTAAATAAAAATAACAATTTTGCTTTCCCTTTGATGTGTCCCCCATCGGAAGGATTCCTTTTTTTATGTTAAGTTTATTTTATACAAAAGTTTAGGTCTTTTATTTGTCTTAGCTAGTTTATTATAAAAGTGGTTTTTAGATTTAATAAATTATAATTCTTACAAATTATGGCATTGCCATATTAGTAATTTCGTCACTATTGCTTTGATCAGCATTAAGAAATACATAATAAAAAGTACAAAAAATGGAAACAAAGACAGCAGTGATCAGCGACGGAATCCATAGACGGAACTTGATGCTAGTCGATCTTCAACTACTGCTTTAATTAGATGAAAAATATATTGGTACAAAGTACTAGCAAGATTTTTAAAACGAATATATGTACATGTATGATGTAATTAAATTATAATAATGTAATAATTATAATAATAATGTAAGGTTTAAAAGGTAAATAAATATCAAAATGCTCAGAATTAAATAATAATAACAATTTTGTTTTTCCTTTGATGTGTCCCTTCAGGAAGGATTCCTTTTGTTTGTTTTAAGTTTATTTTATACAAAAGTTTAGGTCTTTTATTTATCGATTGAGGCACTATGAAGTCTGCCAGGTCAGCTAGTATAATATAAAAAGGAATTTTAAAAGGGATAAAATTCAATCTCCCACCATTAAAAATAGTTAATTTTATGTGAAACATCAATATTTTTAAATCATTGAATCTAATATATTAAGGTTCATATCTCGTTATGTCATGTATGTAATATGTGACTAATAATTTATCGTTTTATATTTTGGCCCCAAGCGACGTCACTCACTAGCTGTCAAATCTGTATTAATAGATACCAAACTATGAAATTATGATTTTTTTTATTTTTCATATTATTATGTCCCACCGGAGGCTGATTTAATGTGGTACAATATATACACATCTACGTACCTCAGTACTATTCTTCATTCCCAGTGTATGTGTGATAGCTTCAAAAGTTTCTCCTTTGGAATATGAAGCAAGCTGCCCCAAAATGTTCAAAATGGGCACGGATGTTACAGCGAGAGATTTTCCTGGATAATCTTTTTGAAGTTCCTGTAAAAATATGAATTTTTTAAAACACTTCCAAAACTTAAGGTTTAATGTAGTTAAAGATAAGATTTATATCTTCAGTTTGAATAAATGTGTTTTTATTTTGTCGGCTATTTTGAAAATGGTATCTTCAATTAAAATTAATGATAGAGGAGTATGGAAGGAGAAAACATCTTTCGCCGACCCCAGGTTACTGGGAGAAGGGCAGGAGAATAAATGGTATCTTTAATTAAAAAGTTTATTAAAAGTATTTAAGTAATTCATTTAATTTTGCCATATCGCATAAACTCAATCGTGAACATTTGATACATATTTCATTATAAATATTCGTAGCCGCCTGCGTGATTCGAACACCGGTGCATCGCTCATCACGAATGCACCGGACGTCTTATCCTTTAGGCCACGATGACAAAACTGTGTATTTGACTGATATGATACTTTAAGAAATTTCAAGTGCTACACTTACATACAACAAGTCCCTTGTTAACTCATTATTATTTTCAGCAAGCCAGTTGCCTATATTTGAATTCGGATACTTATCTAAAAGCATAAAAGAAACGTAATATATTGCCAAGTAGTAAATAATAAATTATGCGCCTCCACCAACAGGCAGGGAGGCACAGGAGTTGTGATGATAAGAAGAAACTTGCGGGTGGCGTTATTCACCTTTTTTGTATGTGGGCTCTGGTGGCCTTTTAATATAGCATAGACTTAAAGTGCGCCCTGAAACCCAACTCTATAAAAAAAAATTACAGACTTCGAATCCAATTTTTCTTAATTTTATGTAATATAGTAAACCAAACTAGAAATGACACAAATTATATAGATGGAACACGTTTTGCTCCAGACCTGTGGTAGAGCATATTAACAAACTTCAATATTTTACCTACATACTAAGCATTCTGATTTTATAATTTTCAAGTCTCGGTCATCTGATCAAACTGACTATTAAGTGTTTCTAATTCAAGGTGTAATCTATTACAAATAAATTACATAAACTAATAAATAAATAAATTTTATTAAATACAAACCTTCTATGAATGCGGCGGCTAACAAACCAAATAAGGTACACAAACAACACAACAAGGACTTCTTCATTGTGAAATTTTCCTGCGATTTCTGGAAAACAAATTGTTAAAGCTTCACTTATATAAAGCCAATTTTAATTAATCTCTTTGTTTAATGTTTAATTAAGACATAAAATCGAATAATGTAACGTACTTAATGTATTTTGTAAAAGTTTATTGAGGAACAATAAAATTTAGTGAGTCGTAATAGTTTTCGAGGCTTTTCTGAAACATGTTAGAAAATGTGATGTGAATCTACCTCATACGCGTGAGTCCGCACGGGTAGGTACCGCCACCCTGCCTATTTCTGCCGTGAAGCAGTAATGCATTTCGTCTTGAAGGGTGAAGAACTCATATCTCAAGGAGGGTGGTGGCATTTACGTTGTAGATGTATATGGGCTCCAGTAATCATAACACCAGGTGGTCTGTAAGCTCGACAACCCGTCTAAGCAATAAAAAAAATTAATAATTATGATCCTTGTATTCATGTCTGACAATAAAATATGTATTTATAACCATTAACACTAACGTGACATATTCATGTCCAAAATTGAAATAAAGAAAATTTCTTTTGAAGAAAAAAAAAACATACATTTTAATGCATCCTTTACAACTAGATCCCAAAACTTTCCACTACTACCCATACGTAATAAATAATATTATGTGCGGTTAAGAATGAAGGAAAAATTCAGTGAACACAAAGTTTATGATTACCTACGAGACCACGATCAGAGACCAGGGAATGAGGTTCAAACAGTTTCATGTTATCATCCTATTGAAATTTTCTAAAGCACAAATAAAGAAATTTTGGATTGGTTCTTGTTTATACCTCATTTGTTTATTTTATATAAATACTTCATTATTTTCAACCCTATGGATATTTTTGAAACCGGTAGTAGAAATCGGATTTTATTTGGAAATGTCCCGAGCCACTTATCACTTAGGAACATGGCGAATCTGGCAGATACACACTACTTAATTTGTTTAAATACTCGACAATTTAGTACGATGATTCTTTAAGCTTAAATAAACCAAAGTCATAGCGTATAGTTTGTTTTGTAATATATCATATTCAGAGAGTCGTGCTATATGTGGCCTGGAATCTATGGAATTCAATGATGTTATCTTTGTTGATATACAAGCATTCTTCTTTTATGGATATCTGACGGAGAAAATGATTAAGATTAAATTTTCAATGTAGATAATATATACCAGTAAATAAAAATTCAGCTTGAACAAAAAAAGAAAACAACCAAATGAATACAATTTTCTTCAATTGAAAATTATGATTTCTTGGGAATTTTTTTTATAAATTTCATTGGACATACCAGCGTTTGATGCAGTGGTAACTAACTTATTAAACGAATCAATCCAATAATTAATTTAAATTAATCAATTTTAACTATTGTAAACATTAAGTAGTTTAGATTTCGCTGCAGGTTGAAAAAAAAGCCAAGAATTCGTTAAATTTTAAATTCATTTATTGATTTACAATTTAATTAATTCACAAGTGCTACCAGATTTTAAGCAAATACACACTAAAACTTGAAACAAATCTTTATTAAGCTTCTATTATAATTTATTCAGCCATAGTAAACACCAGCAATAAGCAATGCTTTCGGAGTGGTATCCAAGACGTTGTTGATTACTGAAAATGCGAATGGACGATTAATCTCAACAGTGATCAGTTTGTCTTTGCCTGGACAAACTTCTTCTGCCTTATTGGGTTTCTTCACTTCATCTGAAAATATAGATCTACCATAAGTAGTTGTCGTGATAATACTTAAGGTATTTCAATTATAAATTTATAATATAGTTTCAGTTTTTAACAAGAGAAACCTAGGTGCAAAACGAATTTCCAAATCGCATTACCCCTGACCGCTTAGGTTACAAGTCATTTATAATTTCAGATTCACTGGATCCATTCTCGGTGCTTTTAGGTTCTTTCAGCACCGGTCACTGACCTCATCAAACTCGTCAATTACCACAAAGAGGTCCACGAGCGAACCAACCTATAGACAAAGCCCTCTGAGGTTTCTCGCCGGATCTTCTCAGTGGGACGCGATTCTATCGTACGGTAGATTCAGCGAAGCACTGCTATTGCTAGGGCTTGTGTTAGCAAATTCCCTCAAGTTGAGCCCGTGAGCTCACCTACCAATCCGCGCTTAACTGGATGGGTAGGTGATGGACTGGAATAGCTTCTTAAACCATCAGTGATTAGGTAGGGAAACGCTATTAAGATTATTTTTTAAATTTGAATAGCGATAGCAGTCAAAACTAAATATTATTTCGATTATCATTTGTTTCATCTTCGTTCAATATTCTGTTTATTTTACTTCCGATATTTTTTAATAATTTGCACTAGTAATTTTGTTTCTATATTTCTGACGATTCTATTACTGTGCACATAATCTCAGCGTATCCTTATTTCCGTATTCGTGTTTAAACGATATAATGCTCGTATGTTAGTTAATACGCTGAATAGATTATAATATACGAAATAATCTCAATAACGACAATCATAGTTTGCGAGATGCCTCCTGTCAGTTTGAGTTCATATTAAATATTAGTAATATATTATTATATTCATGCCAACAGAATGTCAATCTTAGAACTAAGCTCAGATATCTAAATAATCTAGATATTTAAGCTTAGTTCTTAGAAAATCGATTTCATGTTACCAAACGTTAATTTTCAAAAGAGCTATGCGTGTGGAAGTCACGTAAAATTAATTATGCAATTGTAAGGTTGCAGGTACATACCGAAACTATTTTCTTTAATTATTTTGTCAACAAGATAGGTTTCGGTCAAGAAACTTTTGATTACACCGGGCTCACAGTTGTTGGTCACACCACAGAGCTGGGCCCGTTTTTTGTCAAACAAAATGTCCAAGTCCTGTATCTGAAACGTTTATTTCAAATTCATAATACATAAGAGATATACATATATAAATAAATATATCCTTCATAATGTATACATATATATAATAAATAAAACATGTAGGTTTGTGTTTGTCTTTTTTGGCTTTCTGGATAAATCAATCCGACGGACGAGCTCACGGCCCACCTGGTGTTAAGTGGTTACCGGAGCCCATTGACACAATGACGTAAATGCCGCCACCCACCTCGAGACATAAGTAAGGTCTCAGTTTTTACAATACAATGGCTGTCCCACCCTTCAAGCCGAAACACGTTAATTATTGTTTCACGGCAAAAATAGGCAGGGTAGTGGTACCTACCCGTGCGAACTCACAAGAGATTCTACCACCAGTAATTATGCAAATTGTATTTTTGCGGGTTTCATTTTTATTACATGATATTATTCCTTCACTGCGGAAGTCAATCGTGAAAAATTGTCAAACTAAGTACGTACTTCATTACAAAAAATGGTAGCCGCCTGCGTTACATCGCTTTGATACGATTGCACAGGGCGTTTTATCCTTTAGGCCACGATGATTTCAAATCATTAATTAAGGTCAAAGTTTTAAAATAATTTTAAAAATATCACACCTTTTTGAGGGCCTCCGTAATGTCACCTTGAGTCAGTATTTGTCCAAGGGGCATTTGTAGTTCGACGCATTTATATTCCAGGTATGGACTGATTTTATTGTAAACGTCAGTTTTCAAACTTTTGAATTTCTGTGTGAGCTTATATAATCCATTGACCTCATCGGGAAGAATTGCGAATAGTGTGAAGTCACCTCCCTTGAGCGATATGCTGATGAACTAAAAAAATGTGAATGAAAAATTACTTATTATAAATATTAGGTCCTTACACATGAAACTAGCGTTTTGGCGTATTCCGAATACAAATTTCTAAATTCATTTAGCTGGTACATTTGAGTTTTGAAAACATTCATTCATTTGTTTTTTCCTCATTGTCTTTAGCTATTGCATAGCTTCTATTGCGGGCTTTGAGCACGGCGACCGAACCAAGAAATTCCATAACGAAAATAAAACCTAACACCCCCGGCTCCGCCTACCACGTAGGCCGACCGAAGCCTTCATCCACAGTGCGTTTCCAGAGATCTTTCCTGCCACGTACCAACTGACTCTGGAATGGACTTCCATGCATGGTATTCCCCGAGCGTTATGACATGTTCTTCTTCAAACAAGGCTTGCAGAAAGTACGCAAAGGTAGGCAATGACTTGGTTCTGCTCCTGTCATTATTAACATCCATAAACGGTCACGGGCCACTGGTCACCAGGAGGGCCAATGGTTTGTCTGGCTTCAAAGGCAATGAAAAAAGTTTATAAGCGACGGTAAGCACTAACCCTTAGTTGGCCGAAAATCGTAAATTTCTGTAGTAATTAAAAAAACGAAACACTCCACCGTACTAATTGAAACCGCTGTAACTCTTTAAGCTGTTTATTTTTCAATTTATTTACGAGAACAATTACCGATTTTAAGCGTGGCGCAATTTAAATCTACAGTAAAAAAATATAGCTAAAAATAAAGACTAACCTGTGCATCGTATTCCGAAACCTTGGCATACTTTACGATTGCCTTTCCGACCAAAGCAGGTGTCTTTACCTTTTTCTTAGCGTTTAAATAGAAATCCATTGTTTTCACTTTCGTTGGATTGAGCCCAGTATTGTAGTCAAGCTGAAATTTTTGAAACGATGTTAAATATGGGAACACAAAAAAAAATTGGATCGGACAGTAAACAGGTGAATCTCGTCGTGGCCGAGAGTAATTTGATGTCTACAGACTTCAGTAGTCAACGTCAAGTGAACCTTGGGTTCTTCTGTCAATTTACAGCAATAAAATAATTATTTAAAAAATCCTCTCTTTTAATATTACCTCTAGTTCGAGAGAACCAACTACAACGAAGCCATCGCCCTCCTTAATTACGCTTGTATCAACTAAATCTGCGTTTCCATATTGATCGAAATCTTCTTCGAGCTATAAAAAAACATATTGCCATGTTTGATTCATGAAAAAAACACTAAATCGCTTACAATCATTCTTTTATTGAAAACAAATATAGATTCGACACTTAAATAATATTTTTACTGCAAATATGTATAT